GGATGAGTTCTCCCACGGTCTACGTCCCACAGGGACCATGCTGGAGTTTGGTCTCTTTGCTCAATATATTGTGTCAAAGCTATTCTAGGAGACCCTGTGCCTTTACACTCCCCTTATGCCTTCCCACTTTGCCCCAGAGCACTCAGTATGTGTCTGGTACAGCACAAAGCATCCTGTGTATTATTTGCCTTTCTTTCCTTGAAGTGAAGGCAGAAGGGTGAAGGAGGCTACCTGGGCAGCAGAAGATACCAAAGCTCTCATCTATCTGTGTGCCACCTGGGGTCTTGCTGCTGGGAAAATTCTCCTGGCAGCAGCAGTAGAAAGTGAAGCAGCTCAGAATGGAAACAAACGTGGTGCCCAGTGAAGCCACTTTAAATTCAAGAAATTTCAGGTTGTCTACATCATGCTGACGAGCACCGTTGTTTACGACAGCATACGTAAGAGCATAGACAAGGATTTGCCCTGAAAGGCTCTCCCAGCATCCCTGGCATGGCACGGCTCCCGCCCCACAACCCCTGCCTCCTCCGCAGCTGTGGGCTGGGACTGAGGACACGGGAGCAACCTCCCCTCGGGCCATGGCATTCCCACAGCTTCTGACACCACGGGATTACCACCCAGCTGATCGTCTCACTTTACGTGTGTGGGAGGGAATCGTGCTTACGGGACATGCACCGTGTGGCAGGAGAATTTCAGCAGCAGAGAGGTTGAAGGTCACGGCAAGGACACAGCGGCGGGAGGTGGGGAACCATCCTGCACCGTCCCACTCCTTCCCGTCACATATCATCCCATGGCAAGGGACACTTAGAGGAGCTGGTCCCCATCTCCTGTCTGTGACAAACCCAGTCTAACTGGGTAACATTTCCACATAGCGACCAGCTGCATCCTACTTCTGCTTATGGGTGTGCAGGAGTTGGGTAAGAGTAATGATGGACTCGAAAAGCCCCTCCTGACACACAGCCATACCTGACCATGCCTATGGCAAAACCCTCCCACAGCCCTTGTGCCTGAGGGAGGACACGGTTCCTCTTCCAAGGCAGCGCTGGTCATGCTAAGATGAGCCCCCCACCCCTCTGCCTTCCTCCAGCCCTCCTGTTCTCAGCAGTCACAACCAGCAGCACGTGGATTTATTGGATGGCCACGGGTTGACCATGGTGTCGTAGAAATTTCCACGCCACTAGTGCTCCCTACTTGCACTGTTCCCCTTGCCTGGGCCGTGGGCTGGCAGAAGCAGGCATTGCCCGTCTGTCCTTGCGCAGCCCCGATGCTCAGCTGCAGTGAGCCCAATGCTGGAGGGCACAGGACAGCCACAGCAAGCACAACGGGGGACGGCCACCGAGGGTGCGCCCACAGCCAACAGCCACAGCATCGAGGCAGCAGCAAGAGGGAAGGATGAACTGCCAGCCTGGGAAGTCATGACCAGTGCTGACCAGCTACATACTGCATCTCTGCACACATGATGTCTCTGGTCGGAGGCTCCAGATGACCCAGCAAAACACCGAGCAGGAAGGATGTGACAAGATCTAGAGGAGCAAATACCACGCGCTGATTCCCCCTCTCCTCCCAGCTGAAGGATGCTCTGGGCTTTGTCTTTCTAAGGGGAATCTCACAAGATTCATCTGGAAATGGTGCCGATAAAACATGAACTATTCTGAACACAGTGAACAAAAAGCACTTCGAAAACTCTTAGGAAATGTGTGAGATGGTCTTTGAATGCTCAATTTCTTTTTCTCTGTACTCACTGCAAGCTTAAAAACTAAAACCATAGCCATTACCTGATGTAGGCAAGGAATGAATAAAGATCCAACATCTTCCATGTTAAAGTCAGAAATACTTGGTATACCATCCTTGTGCCTAGTACTTTATCCTCACTATATATATGACTCAGCTTACTTGTCCTCGGACAAAATTCCCGCATACATATCATGCACAAGCATGCAGAAAGAACACAAAGCACTACAGAAAGAAGAGAAAACTCAGCAGCAGAGAGGTGGCATGCCCCAGTGACAAGGAGTTTCTTTGGATGCCTAATTCGTTTCACGCTTTTTCTTCTCTTTAAAAACATCACTATGTCCCATATATTTAACTCCACAGTAAAATATCTCCCTTCTTTAAACTTGTTAAACTGCAGAGGTGAGCTGGATTGTAACTCCTGCAGATTGCTCTGATCAGTAGAAACTAGTCAAGGATCACAGGCTGGGACACGCCTGACGTGAGCAGGAGAATTTACCCGACAGCCAGGGCTGGGAGCTCAGCTGGGGGCAAGTGGGGAGCACCATGACCGATGGCCAAGCAGGACTGCCCCTGCCTGCAACCCTGCCTTCACGGACCCAGCTCCAGCGATGGATGAGACCATTTTGGCCACCAAAGGTCACCGGTCCCTGTCCTATAGAATGACCTGGGCTCATCCTCCTGCTCTGGCTGAGCTGCCTTGGGCAAGTCATCTCCTGGCAAATAAAAGGCACACTGTGTGCCAGGTGTACTTGTGCTCTGGAGAGGAAAAAGAAATTTTTCCTTCCTTTTTTTTAGGATTTTTAAGAGCAAATTCTCAGGTTGGCTTCATGAGCCAGGAGCAGAGGATGAACCTGATCCCGTCTCATCTCAAGAGCCCAGCCCTCGCTCTCCCAGGCTCTGGCTACTCACCCGCTTCCAGCCAAAAGTTTGCAGGTCACGCACCACTGCAAGAAGCCTCAGGGCAATAAAAACTCTTACGAGCTGTTTTAACTCAGAACTGACTCCACTGGAACTCCTTGTAAAATGAAAAAAAAATAAACTGCAGAGGGTTTGCTGGTTTACAGATTGGGGATATCTGTGGCTGGCTGCTTGTAAGCCACGTGCCTTGAATAGACATTAAGCATTTTGTGTCAGTCACAGTGAAGAGAAAATTAACTTTGACACTCATGTCCAAAATATTAGTATTAGGTTTTTAGTACTCTGCCCTAGAATAAGCAACTGAGACCCCAGGAAAAAAAAAAAAAAAAAAAAAAATCACATGTCTATACAGCACTTCCAGAGAAATACAAGTTTTCTTTCTACTGATCCTAGCAACACCTTCCTGGCCATTCTGCTTTTTAAATTTATGATAAATGGAGCCACACCTGCCCTGAAATCAGTTCTAGGTGCTATAAAAACAGATAATAGTCCTTGTTCTCAAGGTTTTACAACCTAAATAAAAACAAACAATGAATTAAAGAAGAAACAAAGTCAATCACTAGCCTAAGGTCACAAAGGGGTTATGTGGCTTGGCTCGGATTAGAGCACATGTCCTTCGGTGCTTTACCAGCCTTCTTGACCCGTTACCTTAAACCATAAGGGGTTACTCTATTTTTTGCTTTCCCTGTCACAATTCTCTCTCCCTGGCCCATTCCCTGGCCACTCTGCTGTCAAGGATCCCCATCCTGCTGCTGACAGCCTCAGCCATCCTCACTAACTAAATTACACATTCTGCTCAGAGCAGGACTTTTAGTTTTCCAGTGTATCAAGAGCTGCACTGGACTATTGCAATAGGAGGATTTCTAGCAGGGTTTTCGAAGTGCAAATGATAAGAGCTGGCTGGATTTTTATTGAGGGGGGAGGAGGGGGTTGCAGACAGACTGGGATGTGAGAAATTTTTTTTCTTTGATATTATTTTGTAATAACACATATCTGAAATAGTTTTTCACGGGGAGGCGGGGAAAACCAAAACCTTGTTGCTCTCTCTCACTGAAAAACAAGTTTCCACCCTGTTTCTCTACGCAGGGAAAAAAGGAGAAGTTTCTGCGCATCAGTGTGTGTACGCGTATAAATCAAAGAAAGTTTCAGTTTTAATGAAAACTGTGTTTTCCCAGGAAAAAAAATTTCCAATTTCAACAATCTGGATAAGTCTACATGGCAACATCACTGATGGCTCCTGCCAAGCCCTTCCTAAACCCTGTCAGGACCAGCGATGGAGGGTGGGCTGCTGCTGTCTGCGCAGGGAACGAGCACCCAAATAGCCTTCCTGGGAGAGGGGACCCCCTTCCAGCTGGACATGGGTTGCCATCTGAGCTTGTTTCTCTGAAATCAGTTGCTGAGCAACCCCTGATGTTGCCCATACACAGTAGCAGGCCCTTTTGATCAGACATAGAGACTATCAATGAAGTAAGATGACATAAAATTTTTGTTAAGTGCAATAAAGTCACAGCTTTGCCAAGTGATGATAACAGGCACCTGTGCAAGCAAAATTAAAATGAATTCAGAGAAGATGAACCCCACAGCAGTAAAACACCCAATTTTAGGCCTGATCCTGGACTTTTTGGTGCAAAAGGTACATTTATCAACCTTCAGCCCACTGCAAATTCTGCTAAAATGTACGAATGAAGCAATATTTCAGAGAATCAGATCCCTTCTTGGGGTCACTTGTGATACCCTCGCCCTGTCTAAAAGACTTTTCCCTTTTCTCCCGGGGCTGCGCTGGAACTGCCGGGCTGCAGGACGCTGCGCCACCCGCTCCCTCTCGCTCTCCCCCTGCTTCTCACTTTCACTCCCATTGGTTTCATGTTCCCTTTGCCATGCGGAAAAGCTTGTGAGCACATCCAGCCCAGCAGCAGGGTTTATCCTGGTTCCACCCACTGGGACTTTCCTAGCTTCCTTCTGCAACAGTGA